TCCCCGCTCCTCCCCCGCCCTTTTCGGTGCAGCGGGAGACAGGGATGCGCGTCGAGGAGAAAGGCTCCCAGAAAAAAATCTCAGAGGGGCCACGCGTGACACCTCCCGGGTGTTCAAAAGCTCTCTCTCCATGGCTGCTTTCCGAGAAAAAAAAAAAGTCCAAGCACACACAACTTCCTAGCCGCCCTCCATCCACTCTGTTTTTCACATGACTGTAAATGCGGGAGCTCTGATGAGATGTGGTACCCGCCCGCACCTTTCCAACTACCACCCTTAACTCCCTTTTTCCAACTCCCGTCTTTTCTCGCGAGACCCATACCTGCCGGCTTTGGGATTAGAAGTCGAAGCACAGATTTACAAATACCGGTCTCCCGGTTACGTTGCGAGGGCAACGGCCACGGCATGTACCCCCCACCCCCGGTGACTGCAGTGCGCGCGCGCGGGGGCTGAGCAACAGCAAAAGCTGGGATGGGAGAGAGAAGCTATGAAAGGGATTTTTGACAGCATGTAACCGCTAGGCCTGGGCACGTGCCCTGCGCCTCGCGGGCAGGTGCAGGGTACTCTGGGAATTGTAGTTTTTGTTCCCACCTTCAGGTCCACTCCAACCCACTGCCTTACTTAGGCCTCAGGCCGGGAGGGGGATTACCGACGCCATTTTGCCAGGAACAATGGCCCTTGGCCCAGGCGGTGGCGAGTGGGGGAGGGAGTAAGGTTTTAAGGGTTCGGTTAACCTCCCCTGGCCCCACGGTGCCATAGCAACCTTTTCAGAACCTGGCCCCGCCCCCCTCGCTGCTCCGCAGGGCTCCTAGCCTGTGCGCATGCGGAAAGACCACATTCCACGCCCCCCTGAGACTTGCTCTCACCATCTCCCACCATCCACTTACCAGATCCTCTAGTCTAGTTGGTATGAATACTACCTCCTTAGAGCATTCGTTACATGTTAACCTCGGGGCAGCTACTTTGTGTAAGAACTGCTTCTTGACTGTATCAGAATTGTTTCTGTCATTCTTACATGAACAATCCTGGCTCCGCAGAAGAGGAAACCGAGGCTGGGGAGGGGGGGCGGGATGTACATGACTTGCTCAAGTTCACACAACTATATTGAAGAGTCAAAACTTGAACCCAAGTGTGCTCAGGGGTAGAATGCATTTTTCAACCCCTCAAGGTGCGTCTGGCGGCACAGACCTAGACTGAAAGCTCCTAAGGGCAGGATTGCTTTCTCAAGGCACCTTAAGCCTTAGGATGCCTTGAGGGCAGGAGGCGGGAAAATACGGAGCTAATATGTTCAACTGCACAGCCTAAGGGCCCTATCACTAAGACATACCAACCTCTTATCTCCAACACTTTTTTTCTTTTCCTATTGTAGCCCTCAGAACCTCAGCCTTTTTCAGCTCTTTAAAAAACTATCAATAAATGTAGCTTTTGAGTCCAAATGGAGTGGAATGATGGGCCTGTATCTTGTCTCTGCACCTTTCCTCTCAAAGGTTGTTTTTTAATCCCAATATTGCCAGAACATGCAAGGAAACCAGACCTTGCCCTTAATAAATTCAAATCCCCATATCCCAATTTTGACAATGGAGGGAAACTGAGGGAATGAAATTCAGGGTTATAAGGTCCAGCTATTCCACCTATGGAGATCTTCCTGGATGAATTTGAAAGAACAAGTTTCTCCAGATAGTGCCACCGCCCTTCCTTAGAGGTCTCTACATTCCAAATTAGCTGTAGAATGGATGAAGTCTCCCCAAATCCTTTACTCACTTGCCCCTGAAGATAGTCCCTTTTCCCTGTTAAATTATTGACTACTGTGGGGAAAATGGGATGCATAGCCCAATAACCACTTAAGGACAATATCAAAGGTTACCATGTTATTAAAAGTCTTTATAGGTCCTGACTCCCACTGAGATAGTAACTAGAAACTGTCCGCCATTTTTATTTTTCAATGTCACTCTACTCCCACCACCACCACCACCACATACAGCCTACCTTTAGGAAAAGCAACAGGTACCTCCCTCAGGTGTCACCGGTTACTTTCTTTGTCTCTGAGCCTGCAGATCCAATCAACACAGATCAGTACTTGGAAGTATGAGCCCCTCAATCTGCTCAGATGTGAACCCATCTAAGAAGTCCCTCTTTGACAGTCAAACATCTACACTAATAAAAGAGAAAAATGGTAATTGGCGTACGACCCTACCCTTTTCATTGGCTAATCAGGGCTATATGCAAATTAACTGCCAACTAAGATTGGCAGTTAACTGCCAACTAAGATTGGCAGTTAAATGCCAACAAGATGGCGGTTAATTTGCATATGTAGGCACACTGCAGGGAGGCGAAAGGGAAAGCAGGAAGAAGCCCCCTGCCACTG